TGCTGCTGATTCAGTGGCTCCCAAAGCCTGCTCCTGGTTTGCTGTGCTGGCACAGCCTATGCTGGACTGCACTCCTCCATCACCCACATGCGACAGACCTTTCCTGCCAATCTTCCAAGTTGTCTTGGGCTGGAAATTTGTTTCACTCCATTTTTTTTCTGTGAATTCTGCTGCTGTAGAATTTGTTTAGAATCATTTTAAAAAGGTATTTGGAAGGATTTCAGGGAGAGCTCGGCTTTACTTCGCCATCTTCCTTTGCCTCCTATAACTTCTTGAAATGTGATAGTGAGACTCTTTTTTTGATCATAGCTTTCAGGAAGTCTAATAATTCTTAAATTATCTCTCCTTGATCTATTTTTCCAGGATAATTGTTTTTCCAATGAGATATTTCATATCATCTTCTATTTTTTCATTCTTTTGACTTCGTTTCTTTCTGTTTCATGGATTCATTACCTTCCATTTGCACAGTTTTATTTTTTAAGGAATTATTTTCTTCAGTGAGAATTTATACCTCTTTTTTCATTTGGCCAATTCTGCTTTTTAAAATGTTATTTTCTTCAGTAATTTTTGTGCCTCTTTTTTCATTTGGCCAATTCTGCTTTTTAAAATGTTATTTTCTTCAGTAATTTTTGTGCCTCTTTTTTCATTTGGCCAATTCTGCTTTTTAAAATGTTATTTTCTTCAGTAATTTTTGTGCCTCTTTTACCAAGCTGTTTATTCTCTTTTCATAATTTTCTTCCATCATTCTCATTTCTATCCCCAATTGTTCCTCTGCCACTCTTAATTCTTTCTTTAACTCTTCCACGTATGACCCAGGGAGAGGTGTGGTCACTGCTGTCTTGTTCTATGCTTTCATCTTTACCCAGGAAAGGCCCTTGCTCCTGTACAGCTGCAAGCACTAGCATTCCTCTTCACCCTGGAATTGTGTCTTACGTCCCCTCTTTCTCTGCAGCTGCAAGCACTAGCACTACTCTCTTCCTTGGAACTGTGACCAGGACCCCTCTTCCCTTGTGACTGACCACAAGTACTTCTCTCTATCCTGGAACTGTGACCCAGCACTGTGTATGGGCAGTAGAGTTGCCTATCAGCACTGGCTACACCTAGTGCCAGCACAGAAACCCCTGTAATTTCTTTCTGACCAGTTGTCTGACCTTCTTACCATCTCTGGGCTGAGAGCTCCTGAAGCTGCTCGTGTTGCTATTGCTGTCTCCGAGGCTGACAGCCCTCTGCTGGTGCGTCAGCTGCATGTGCTCCGGGCTGTTTCCCACTTCAGTGTCAAACTTCTCCTTCTGACCTCCTAAGTTGGTTTAAGCTGGAAGTGTCTCACCTTGTCCTTATGTTGGCTCTGCCAATCCAAAATTCAATTTGATACATTATTTTAAAGTTGTTTGGAGGAGAATGCTGGAAAAATTCAGCTTGGTTGCTGTTTCTACTCTGCTATCTTGGCTCTGCTCCCCAGTGGCCTTTCCTCATTCTCAGCCATTCTGCAGCCTTTGACATTGACCCTGGTAGACTCCACATTGTGCTCTCCACTGTTAATCACCCCATTCTTGGTACTCTCTTCTCTATGTGTTTTCTGGACACTGCTCTTTCTTGGTCTTCTTTGCTGGATTATCATCCAGGTCATGCCCACTAACTGTGAGTGTCCCACATCTGTCCTGGGCCTTTCCTTTTCTCTCTTTATACTACTTTACTTGGTGATCTCATCAGTGCTCCCATGGATTTAACTATCATCCTTAGCTGATGATTCTCAAAGCTACCTGTCTTGTCCTAATCTGTCTATTGACCTCCAATCTCATATCAACTGTCTTTCAAACATCTTGAACTGGATGTCCAGTAGGCATCTTAAACTCAAAATATCCAAAACTGAACTCATTGTCTTTCTCCCTAAATCCTCCTCCCCTCCTAACTTCCCTATTATTATTGAAGGCAACACCATCCTCCTAGTCCCTTCTCACGCTTGCAACCTAGGTGTCATCATCAACTCTTCATTATCTCTTACCCCCCATTTCCAAAATGTTTTCAAGGCCTGTCAATTTCACCTCTACAGCATCTCTTGACTATGTCCCCTTCTCTTTTCTGACACTGACACCTCTCTAGCTCAGGTCCTCATCACCTGTGCCTGGATTATTGCAAATAACTTCCTGGTGGATATGCCTGTCTCAAGTTTCTCCCCACTGTATTCCATTCTCCATTCAGCCACCAAAGTGATTTTCCAAAAGCACAGATCCCATTCATGCCACACACCCTTCCTCCCACCAATCCTATTGCCTCCAAGGACGAAACACAATTAAATACAATTGGCATTCAAAGCCCTTTATGGCCTAGCTTTCTCTTACCTTTTCAGTTTCCTTACTCTTTATTCCCTACCATGTACTCTTTGATCCAGTGACACTGGCCTCCCGGTTATTTCACAAACAAGATAGTCCATCTCTCAGCTCTGGGCATTTTCTCTGGCTGTCCCCTATGCCTGAAATGCTCGCCCTCCTCATCTCTACCTCCTACCTTCCCTGGCTTCCCTCAAGTCCCAACTAAAGTCCCATCTTATATAGGAAGCCTTTCTCAACCCATCTTAATTCTAGGGCCTTCACTCAATTATTTTCTATTTATCCTGTATGTTTACATATATATTTTTTTGTCTCCTCCATTGTGAACTTGTGAGATTTCGAGCTCCTTAGGGGCAAAGGCCACATTTTGTAGCCCCAGAGCTTCACATAGTGCCCTGGCACATAGTAGGCACTTAATAAATATATTGACTGACTTTGCTCAACTCTTACATGCTTCTTCATATTTCTGAAGGAAGCTACACAACTGAGGACTGAATTTACCACAAATTCATGTTATTTAACTTCAACTAGGCCTTTGTTGCACAATTACCCTGATTGTCTCATACCATTTGAGCAATTCTGATTTTTAAGGAGTTATTTTCTTCAGTATTTTTTGTGCCTTTTACCAAGATGTTAATTCTCTTCATAATATTCTTACATTGTTCTCATTTCCTTTCCTAATTTTCCTGTTACACAGTTGTGGTTCAGTTGTCTCCTGACATTCCAGAGGGTCCTCTGTCTTATAAAGCGTTGGGTCATTTTCCTTTGTTTTGCAGTATTTCTTCATAAGTGCTTGAACTTGTTCACTAGATCTGGAGGCCATAATTGTTTCTGTTAATTTTTTTCTCTGCTTATGTTCAAAGTCTCTCAGTTTTCTTTTTCCTAGGATCTTTGGTAATTTCAGCAGTTCCCCCCCCCCATTTTTTCCCCCCTGTTGCTTATTTTTTTACTCCCTCCCCTCTGATGGTGGTTTCCCTGGGAACTGGATCACAAAGCATTTCAGCTTCCTCCCACACTGGGCAATTTACCAGGCCAAATCTCTGCTCCAGATGACTTTTGGGGGAACAGAATTAACTCAGGTGAATGCTAGGCTCTTTGAAGCTTAGTAGAATACTGCACGGTCTCCTATACACCCTCCCCCCCCATCCCATCCCCCCCCCACCGTCCTGCAGAGCACTGCCACACTGGTGCCTTGCAGCTGGGGATGATTTCTATTGTTGGGAGTTTGGGTTTCTGAGGCTTGGCTTTGGGGTGGGTTTTATTAGGCTGAACTTTGTTTCAAGCCCAGGTAAATGTCCCAGTCCCTTTCTTCTGTTCCTTAGCTCTCCTGTAGAGATCATTTGCACCACAGAATGCTGTCAGGGCACTGGCCACTGAAACCCTAGCCAACTTTCACATCCTAGAACCAAGCTCTCCATGGAACTGGAAGAAGGGAGGGAGGAACGGGGTTTAGAGTTGGGTTTTCTTGCAAGCCCATGGGTCAATTTGGCTAGTATTAGCCTCATGGCTGGTAGCATGGTGGGCCATGGAAGAGGGAGTGCTACTTGAGCTCAGGTCTGTGCGTGGTTGTGGGATTTCTTAAAACTGTTTTTGGGTTCCACGTGTCCTAGACCACAGGGACACCTGAAGTTCCTTTATCTTTGGTGTATAATTTCTATTTTGGAGAGGTTTGAAAGGTCATGAGGAGCAGAGAAAATGTCTAGGCCTTCATCTTGTTGATCACATGACCCAGAAGTTACATACATATACATATACACACACATTAACACGTTTATGTGTGTGAATGTATATTAGTAACCCTGAAAGTTGCTGGGGTTTCTCTAATAATATCACTCATGAGCTACCACTGGTCTATGTCCCATTTTAATCAGTCGGTAGACATCAATTAGGTTTTTTGCAAAGGACATTTACTAAGGTGGTACATAATAAAGACAGTTGGTACAAAACATTCCCTCTTGCAAAAGTCTGGGGCAGACTCTCCTACAAGTGCCTAGGAGTCCATGGCAGAGGAGGCTCTCACATGTACCTGGGGTAAGCTTGTAACTTCTAGTTAAAGGCCGTGTGCCAAAGGAAAGAAGATGCAAATAGAAGCTTCTTGGGTCCCCATCCTCCACAAAGGTTTGCCTAGGAGGCCATGAGCTCACCAGTCAGCCCATGGAGGAAAATGGCACCTCCCTCATCAGCCTTCAGAGTCATCTTTACACCTGTGTCCATCAGATAGAAAAAAGTGTGTGTGTGTGTGTGTGTTAAGCTGTATTGGTGCCTTTTAACACAGTTCTGGTTGAACATCCATTTAAACAGCTCCAAGATCATACAGTGAGCTGAAGGGAAAGTCACAGGATAGCTGTGCATGCTCTGAAGTCAAAGGCAAGTGTCCTTTATTTAGCTTTTTAGGAAGCGGGATCCCTAAGCACCCATGTGGATTACAACAGGCGGACTCCACACAAGGAGGGCCAGGTCCTAGTCCTTTCTTGAGTCGACTACCAGCAATCCAGTTGGGGGGGGGGTCATGCTCCTTGAGGCTGTTTCCCTCCTCTGTATTTGTATCTCTTTTTCGAACGAATGTGTCGTCTCCTACTGGTTCAGGCTAAGGAAGGGAAATGTGACACTTCCCCGGCCTCCCCCCCCCCCCCCGCCGGGCGTTCTCAGGTCCGGGGCTCCCTCCAGCACCGGACTGGTCACTACTCGGCTGCCTTCTGCCCAGCTTTCTCCTCGTGCTGCCTCAGCCAGACCAGCTTCTCCAACACTCTGAACCCCAGAGGTTCCCTGGGCACAGGCCATTTGGTTTGTACATTTAAATCCCTGTTATGCTCACACGCTGCTGCCACACAGGGTGTGGAAAGCTCTCCCCGCCAGCTCGCTCTACAGGCTATCAGAAGTGGGATGGGCGGGATTAAGTTAGGAAAGAGACCCATCAGAAGCCAGACGCAAGGGTGGGGAACAGGTGGACTGAACCTTCCTGCTCTCCGTAGCCCTTTTCTCCCCTCTTTCCCCCCCCCCAGAGTTTGGGGAGGGGTGGGAGGGGTGGAGGGTGCTGCTGGGTGGGGTTGTGGTGGCCCGAGCTATTCTGCCGGCTCAGCCCTACAGACCGAGACGCCGAGTCCTCCAGAATTCCTAGAGCGTCCCGGAAGTGCGAAGGTGAAGGCCGGCCGCGCGGCCCGGGGGCGGGGACGCTTCCGGTCTGTGGCCTACGCTAGCCGCAGGCCAGGTGAGCGGGTACAAGCTGAGGAGGCGGGGTCGGGGTTAGCAGGCGGCGGGCTACCTCTTATAGCAGGGGGAGGGGAAGAGAGCTGCCCCTCCCCCCCCGGCGCACCCTGGGCCCGGGGCAGCCCAGGGTCCGAGCCCCACTCTTGTCTCTCTGAGACACCCCCGGCCTCCCTGGGTCTCAGTTTCCCTGTCTGGGCCGTAAGGGAGGTGGTTCTCCGTCAGAGACCGCGTCAGGGCTGAGGCTCCTCGTTGGCCTGAGGCTACGAGAAGTCCGCGGGTGGGCTTCCCGGAGGAGGTGGCGCATCCTAGGTGGGAGCTGAAAGGGCTGGGGAACGTTCTGCCTGGAGCGCTGTGACCAGGTTGGGTGTCAGTCGGGGGCGGGTCCGGGTCTTTGCCCGAGGCAGGGGACTCGTACCAGGGAAGCTTCTGCGGGGGTTCGAGCAGAACTGCGAGAAGCCTTGGTCGTGCCCCAGGCCTGTGAGATCCCAGGTGTTTGTAGGTGTCTGGACGCGTGTCCAGGCCTTGAGACAGAGGGACAGCAGGGTTGCCTTCCGGAGACTAGGAAACTCCCTAGTCAGTGCCTCGTAGCTGTTGCACAAGAGGGAAGACAATTCCGATTTTTCTTCTGACTGTCTTTTCCAAGCCCTTCCCTGATGCCCTCGGGCATTGGCCAAATCTGCTTCAGCGCATTTCTCCACAAACCTGTTAACTGCCTATTTACCGCCCTAGGTACTGGGTGTATACTAAGATTTAAAAAGAAGCTGTTCTCCACTCTCAAGGTGCTTTTATTCTTTCTGGAAGTTGGGGCTGGGGGTAGAGAATGCTCCTAGGTAACGAGATAGGTACATACAAGATCACTCCTTGAGGGAGCCCGGTGTGCTCTGCTGCTATCACTGTTACCGCTACTGCTACTACCACCACCATTACCACCACCACTATCACCTAACATTTATGTAGTGCCTACTATGTGCCAAGCACTACAATTACCATCTCGCTTGTTCCTCACAACATCCCTGGGAGGTAGGTGCTATTATGATCCCCATTTTACAGATGAGGAAACTGAGGCAGACAGGTTAAGTGACTTGCCCGGGGTCACACAGCTAGTGTTTTGATGCTGGAACTGAACTTGGGCCTTCTTGACTCCAGACCCTGCCTTCTATCCACCACACCACCCACCTGCCCCAACTAAGGCTGTAGGGATCAGGAAGGGAGGTTTCAAAGAGGAAGTCGTTTCAGAACTGGGCCTTGAAGGTAGCTAGGCAGTCTGAGTAATGGAGGAAGCCAGGGTATGTGAAGACTATGGATCTGCAAAAGTAGTTCCCAGATTGTAGAGTGCCTGGCTGGAGTTTATGTTTTGTTCTAAATGCAGTAGGAAGTCAGTGAAGATTTTTGGCCAGGATTATGGTATTTTTATGACTGTGTCTCAGTTTCTTGACTTGACAGCCATGTGGAGGATGAATTGGATAAGGGGGAAGACTGGAAGAAGGGGAAATAAGGTGGAGACTATTGTGATAGTGCAGGTAAAAGGTGATGAGGGACTACTAGAGTAGTCGCTATGTGAGATGAAATCATAGGATAGTAACTTTAGAGTTGGGAAAGACTTTTGAGATCACTGAGACCATTCTCCTTATTTTGTAGATGAGGGAACTGAAGCCCAGAGAGTTTTTATTCCAGGGGGAGGTTTTGGCTGAATACAGTTCTTTTTCTTTTTTTAACGCAATTCTCAACTTTATATACCTTTAATCATCTCCAGGACCCATCTGTGCCCAGAAACAGGAAGCCTCAGGGTGACAGGGGCCTAGGAGGTAGCCCAGGAGTCAACACCTGCTTCATCTCCATCAACTTCTCTTCACCTGGAGCACCCATTGAACTTCATCATCAGAAGGTTCTACTGCACTTCAGCATGGTACTTCCTCCCCTGTAACTGAGCTCATTTCACTTGTCAAATTCTTTAGCTGTTTTATTACCTTGCCAGAAACCCACTATAACTCTAGACCCTTATCATAATAGCTTATATTTGCATAGTGATTTATAAAACATTTTTTTCACACTAGCTCTAGTGCAATAGGTGTTGCAAATATTATCCCATTTTGCTGATGGGGAAACCAAGGATCACAGAGGTTAGTTGATTTGCCCATGATAACATTGCTTCTGAGTGACAGCCAGCTATCAGTACTTGAACCCAGGTCTTCTGTCTTTCAGTGTGGAAGCCCTTCACCTCTGGCCATGTTTCCTAAATGACTGTACTATACCCAGTTATAAAACCAAAACTAAATTTAGTAGGTAAGCTCATAAGGTGATATAGCTAGGTACTTAATATCTGTATTGTAAGGGCAGAGTGGGGCTATTAGACATAGGATAACAGAAGAAGGCCAGCAGTCAGCTCATCATATTCTGAGTACGAGTTAGCTAGGTAGTTCCATTTTTGGCGTTGTTTTTGTTTTAAATAGCCGTACACACACACACACACACACACACACACACACACACACACACACACACACATGCACATACACATACATACATATATACACACATATATATTATATATGTGTGTATATATGTGTGTGCGTATGTATGTATATATATTGTATATGGTCATATATATGACATGTACTCACCTTTGTTAATAAGTTCCTCATTAGAATAATGAAGCCCCTTTTTCTCATTGAACATTACATAGAAGGCTGAAAAATACAGGGTTCAGACATCATACTTTTGGTTTATGAACCAGAAACCCATTTAAGCATATTCTCTAGACCATATTGCTGCATCTTGTTCCATAAAGATCATGGGAGAATTGATTAGCCATCTTGTTAAAATTAGGATAGTCTCTTGCTTTTCCAACCATGTCAGTATCAAAATTGAAATGGTTTTAGGATGTGTGACAAGACTAGCTCTTAGTACTAGTAGTCAGTGTGGGTTCCCTGTGTTCGCAACAATCTCTTTATTGGTAAGTCAGAGTTATTTTCTTGTTTCCAATGTCCTGACACAATTCCCATTTACCATATTTTTCAGATTACTGAAAATGCTTCTACTGTGATAATTCAGTGTTCCTTATGTCCTCTTAAACAAAAACCTGGATGAAAGGAGTTACATCAAACCCTGAGTAATTAGAAAGGAATAGAAGCAATAGTCTCTCATTTTGTGAGAGAATAGAAGTCTGACAACTGCACCTGATCTTTTTTCCCCCCTGGCACGCATTTTATGGAATCTGAAAGTTGTATCTGATTGTAAGTACTATTTCTTCAAGAGGCCATGTAGAGAAGTAAGAGAAATGCTGGACAGGAGAGTCAGGAGATTTGACTTTGAGTCCTGTCTCTGCTACTTCCTAGCTGGGTTTCCTTGGAGTAATCACTTCACCTCTCTGAGCCTCAGTTTTCTCATCTGTAGAATGGGGATAATACTTTTATTGCCTCCTTTACAGGGTTGTGGGGAAATTGCCCTGTAAATGTCTCAAAGCACTATGTCAGTGTGATCTGTTATTTTTAGTTCTTGATCTTTCTTGTAGTATAAGAAGGTGAGTCATTTTTGTGGATTTTTTAATATCTTATTCTTTGCTAAACTCATTTTCATAATTTGTTTTTGTTTAGTCCCTTGCATTTTCCAGAAATACAGTCAAGCCCTATGCAAGTAGCGGTATTTTTAACTCTTTGCCAGTGTCTACCCCTTTAATTTTATTTTGACTCATTGCTGTTCCTTGCAGGTAGTCAGTCCATCATTCTTCTTTCTTCCCTGTCAGAGTGTTGATTTTACTCAGTATAAATTTAACTATTTGATCTTGCTGTCAATACAGATTCACCCACAAATACAGCCTGTATCGGTACCTGCTCAGTGCATTCCTTCTATGGATTCTAAAACAGTCTATTTGGAGGATTTTGTCCTACCGGGTATTCTTCCAAACTGGAAAGTAGTTAATATAAATAAAGTGATGTGAGAGACTTTTGCTGTGTAGTACAGACAAGTGGGCAGCTAGGTGGTGCGGTGCATAGAGTGCCAGGCATAGAGTCAGGAAGACTCATCTTCCTGAGTTCAAATCTGGCCTCAGACACTTACTAGCTATGTAACCCTGGGCCAGTCACTTAACCTTGTTTGCCTCAGTTTCTTCATCTGTAATATGAGCTGGAGAAGGACGTGGCAAACCTCTCCGGTATCCTTGCCAAGAAAACTGCAAGTGGGGTCATGAAGAATCAGACACAACTGAAAATGACTGAACCACAATAGACAGGATATGCCTCTGCCTCTCAGATCACCAAATCAGGGATCAGCCCCAAACTGGTGTTAACTCAAAAGTAGGAGCGTGAGTTTTAAAGGAATTTCTGCCATTAATTCCTTGTGATGCCTTTGGACAGGCTGCTTCATTCAGCTTGTCCAGTTCTGTTACTCTTTTTACTATAATGTTGCTTGTCAGTATTGTGAGATTCAGATAAGATAGTATATAAATTATCACATATAGGTATAAACCATTATTTATATTTATCTTTTCTCTCATTCTTAAACAGGACATTCAGTTTTCCCCCATTTCTTCAGTAAATCCTAGAAGTGTCATTTAATTCTCTTTTGTAAATATCAGCTTTTTTTCAAATCCATAATTTTAAAACCAGCTTATTGCTTTGATGATTCCTACCCTTTGTCCCATCATCCCACTGTTCTTAAGAAGTTTATATCTGGATGGGGAATCTGAAGCTACACAGTTGAGAAAGATACATCTAAATTAGGGCAAGTTGACAGAGTAATACATGCTTAATATTCACATTAAGTGTATAAATGATCACAGCTGGCTGGGCCCTCACCTTTAGTGCAGGTTAGAGCCCATCCACATTCTACCATTCCATGCTTTCCTGTTCTACCTCCTGTAAATCCATGATAGAAAGTCCACCCAGCCCTCTTGAGGCCTTCCTCTAGGCCTTGTAACATTTTGTGGGTACCAGCTCAGCCCTTGGACTGTCCTGCTCTCACAACACCAGCAGCCGCCTCATCAAGTGATCACACTTATACCACTTTTTTCACACTGATCAGAATCCTACAATACTATTTGCAATTCAGTTCACTTTAGTTGTCATTGATAATTCAATGCAGGCAGCTTATATCTTAACATCCATCTCTTTATTACCCTTTGGGTCACTTGCAGTTTTGATTTGTAAGATCCATGATGTACAGTCGTGTCACTTCTCAAGGATGTTGATGTGAAACTACTTGTCATTGAGAGAATGGCATAGTTTCTGAAATGCAGTCCAGCCAGCTTTTCTTCCTGTTTGATGGTGAATATTCTGTTTTTTAAGGAGAATATCAAGGGTATGTATAATTGGGCAAGGAAATCATGTAGCAAAAGCAAGGAACAGCAGGTGGAAGTCTTAGCCCTATATACTGTTTTGGTTTTTTTTCCCAATAATTAAAAAAGGAAGGCCTCTGGCTCACTGAATTAGATTTCCCAGTGGAAGACTCATGCTTGCGTAGACAAGAATCCCATAGCATGAAAATGTAAGAATGGGCTGCAATCTTCTTAGATGAAGAAATGCTCATATTAACCAACCAACGTACCCATCAAAATATTGAAATAGGTACCATGTACAAATACAACCAAATTTCTTAAGTATTTCTATCACCCACATTTGTACCCACAGTGTTCTAAGTGATGAAAATTGTGTGTGGGTGTTTCATTACTGAATTTTTTATTTTAGAATTTATGTGATTTTAAAAAAACTAATCAGATTATAGTAGAAGCTGCACAAATCATTCCACCCCCCTTTTTAGCATTCTACTTTAATGAAACTCTTCCCCTCTCAGCTTCCCTCACCTCTTTCCTTTGAATCCTGAGCTTTCTTCAAGGCTCAGGTCAGGTGCCAGCTACTGTAGAAATCATTTCCTGATACCCCCACTTGTTTGCACTCTTTCCCTTCTCAAATGTTGCCTTGCATTTACTTAACTTTGCACATATTGTAAGCTCCTTGAGGCAGTGGCATATTTGGAATATCCCTGAACCTTGAATCCATGTCTGTTTTCACACTTAGAGTAGCCATGTGAACTTGAACAACAAGTCACTTCACTTTTCTGGACCATGGTTTCCCTATCTAAAGTGAGGTGGCTGAACTCAATAATGTTTAAGATCTCTTCTCACTATACATTTGGTGAGTGTAGGGTAGGATTGAGGAAGAGCTGATATTCCAGTTGTTTGGAACATAGAGTGCATACATGGAGGAGAATATTGTGAAGTAAGAGTAGAGAGTAGTTGGAAGCTAGGGTGTAGGGAGTCAGTAAGTATTTTACTAACTGGTTGGCATTTTATTCCATAGCCCATAAAGAACTGCTAAATGTTTTGGAACAGGGGAGTGATATAGACCTTAGTACTGGGAAGATAATTATGACAGCTGGGGGAAGGATGTGTTGGAGAGGGAAACACAGGAGGCCAGATAGCAGGCTGTTATAAAGTTAAGGTGAGTGGTGATAAACAGCCTGAACTGTAGTAGTATCTATTTGATACCAAGGGTGGTGAAAACTTGAACTTCAGATTTCTTATCCAGTCACTGAATGTATTTTATGTCTTTACTTGTTCTAGGAGACCAAGCAGTATCCCTATTCCTTTATATATGAGCCATATCCAAAATTTCCTTTATCTCCCCAAATTACATATTGAGGTGGTCCCTGAAGTAGCAGAAATGTGTCGTATTGTTTCAGGAATTGGTGTTCTTTGAGGATGTGGCTGTGTATCTCACACGGGAGGAGTGGGGACTTCTGGACCCTGCACAGAAGCAACTCTACAAGGATGTGATGCTGGAGAATTATTGGATCCTTATCTCCCTCGGTAAGAAATAATTTCTCTTGCAATCCTTCATAAACTATCATATATACATATTCTCCATTGTTGTGTACTCCCATTTTCATTTTTGATAATTGTGTTTTCTTTCATTTTTATTGTCTGCCAGTGGTTTATCAATTTTATTGGTCTTTGGTTTTTTTGCTAAGTAGTTTATTCTCTTGCTTTCTATTTTGCTATTTTCTCCTTTAATTCTGATGAATTTTTGTTTGGCATTTACTTGGAATATATTGATTTGTCTAATTTTTTAAACTGCAAACTTAACTCATCCATCTTTTCTTTTTCTCCTTTGTTCAGGTGTGTAAATTTGCTTCTGAGAACTACTTTAGCTTCAGCCCTTAAAATTTTAGATGATAAATTTTTATTTTTATTATTTTTAGTTTTGACTACCTCTGTAATTTGCTCTTTGACCCAAGCTTTATTCAATAATTCCCTCTAGTGCCCATTTAAATATTCATATTTTGATAATATTTTCCTGTTTATTATTATTTGTACTACAGCCTGTTAATTTAGTGTTTGTATTTTCTACCTTTCAGAATTTATTTGTATTAGAACATACTTTATTTTTATGAATGTTCCATGTGCATATGAATAAAAAATACACTTCCTATTTTCTCCATTCACATTTAGATTTTTCAAGACTGCTCAAGTCTATGCTATTTCTTATTTATTTCTTTATTTACTTTATTATATTCTGCTAGTAGGATGTTGAAATTTTCCACTATTTTCTTTTTCTAATTCTTTTTGCACTTAATTTTTCCTTCAGATATTTAGTTGCTATGATGTTGGCACATATTTAATATTGATAGTTTTTCATTATCATTGGTACCTTTCCACATCATGTATTTCTCTGAATGCTTTTTAATTTGAGGCCCAGAGGTTAAATAACTTGCCCACAGTCACACAACTAGTAAGTGTCAAAGACAGGGTTTGACCTGAAGTCCTTCTGACTCATAAGCCCACCACTCTGCCTATAATGCCATGCTTCCTTTTATTGTTGCTGTTAGGTGGAACAATGTAAGATGTTTCTCAAGGCATGCTTTAAAGTTTTTTGTTTTTAAAAACTTGAATTTATTCTTCATTGTTTTCCCAAAGGCTTCTTGTTTATTCCTCCCATTTCTCCATTGCTACTCCAAAAGTTGTTGCAAAGCTGGACTTCTCAAGGAACTATTCAAAATAATCTTATTTTTAAATGACCATTTTTTGTTTTTAAAAAGAGGTTTTTTTTTCAAAAAGTTTTCAACTTTGCTAGGAAACTGATTCTTGAATTGAGGCTCTTAATTCTAAATTTAATATACAGATGTTTTTTATTAACAGTATATGTTATATTCCAACCACTCCTATAACTTCTTATTCTTTTATAATAATTTGAGATTCAAATGAGTGTTTTTTGCCAAGTAATATATTTCTTTCCAGCAGCTTTTAGGGTTTATTCTTGGTCATAATTTTGAAATTTAATAATATGTGACTAGAGGGGGCAGGTAGGTGGTGCAGTGGATAGAGTACCAGCCCTGAAGTCGGGAGGACCGGAGTTCAAATCCGGCCTCAGACCAAACACTTGACACTTACTAGCTGTGTGACCCTGGAATTGCCTCAAAATTTAAGAAAAGAAATATGTGACTGGGTGGGTTGACTTTTCAAGTATGTCCTTGCTGAGATTCTGCAAATTCTTTCTGTCTTTATTTTATTTTATTTATTTATTTTAATTTTATTTTTAATTTTATATAAATTTATTTTATGTAAATTTTATTTATTTTAAAATAGTCCTGGGAACTTTAATTGTTCAGTTTTCTGAAATATACTGATCAGATTCTTTTCTTTAATTTTTTGGAACCTTAATAATTTTAAGGTTGTCACTTATTCTTATGAATCCTTCACTTTTCTCTAAATTACTTTTCAGTCTATTTTACTTGAAATATTTTCTGAGCTTATTTGTCTGTTTCTACTGCACCTTGCCCAAAGGGCAGTGGAAAGACTTACTGTGGATTGGAACAGGCAATAACACATAACAAAGAAGGCATTACAAAGGAAAAGAAACATAAAAAAAGTCTGAATTAATCAACAAGCATTTATATAGTACTTATTAAGTGCCACACACTTTACTAAGTACACAAGATACATAGACAAAAGTGAAACAGTCCTTGCCCTCAAGAAACTTATATTCTGACAGGGGAAACAACATATTCAGTATGTACAGTATAAACAGCGATAAACATATATAAAAATGTCATAGAGATATCTGTGTATGACTGGAAAAAAGATGGACTGATACTGTCCTGAGAATGACAAATAATTGATGGACAGCCTTTATGCTTTATTGATATCTAAGCAATGCCAAGAAAATACAAGAAAGGCTCCTCTTGCCCCCGCAGTCACCCTATGGTTGGTTTGTGGGAGGGCGAGTTGGAGACCCATAAAGGATGGGCAGGAATAGAGGGGTTGTGAAATGCATTGTTGGAGGGAATATCCACACTGGTGAGGTCACAGATCTATGGATTATTGTGCTTTTTGCCTTTCTGACTCCTGACTCATTCTATTAATGTTTTATGTTTTCTCTGCTCATTTTCAAACAGCTTAGTTTCACCTTATCTTGCCCTATAATTCCTTAAGTGTATCTATATTCTTAATTTTAATGTTTTTTTAAAAAAATGTATTTCTTCATTTAATTCCTTAAATGTATATTTTCCTATTTCCTTTGGTCCTACCTATCCTATTATCTGTGCCCTTTTTTGATCTCTTCTCTCATACAGACTAAGACCTGTGACATAGTGCTAAGGAAGTTCTGTTTTTCTAACACAAATGACCACATTTCATTTTCTTCCCCATGATTAGGATTTCCTATTTCCAAACCTGAGGTCATTTGCCAGCTGGAGCAAGGGAAAGAAGCATGGGTCTTGGATATACAGGTGCCTAAGGAAAGCATGCTCTCTAGAAATACCTACAGAGGTGAGTCTGTGAGAACCAGTTTCATTGAGATTAAAAGGTAATAATATTACTTAGCACATAAGTAATATTTAGCTATATAAAGGATATGATTTTATAGCACTTTAAAGGTTATGAAGTTCTTTTGCTACAATGCTATGAGATGTAGGTAGTATGAAGTATTATCCCTATTTTAAAGGTGAGGAAATTCAGGCTCAGGGAAGCGATTTCCCCTAGGTCCTGTAGTTAGTAAGCAGCAGTGCTGGAACTTTCATGCAGATTCTCTTATGCCAGACCTGTTGCTGCTTCTATGACATCGCATGGCATCCCTGTTTTTTGTATATCCTTGAATCTGTGATTTCATCCACATGGATGTTCCCTCTGTTGCTGTAAATAATAACCATCCATCAGTCTATGTGGTCCATGTTCTCCCATAGGTCCTTCATAGAGATCTCACTCAGTGTGCTGAAAGGCCATTCTCTAGGTCTTTTTACATTTCACATATATTAATGCATTGCTCATACTGTCTCTGTTTTCTCTCCAGCTCTCAACATATGAACAACACACATCTTTTTCTAATCATTCCTTTCTACATTTTACACCACTTCTTGTACATAGGTTGTCGCTAGAAATAAGTTGTAGCCTTCTTCCATCCTACCATGCTTCTCTCCATTACTTTTTGTGTCACCTGTCACTTTGATTCTTTGGAAGATGAAGTGTTCTAAGATTGATAACCATATGCTGCTGATAGAACATTTGAGTTTTCATATGTAGTGCACCGGGACAGTGTTTAGCATTATTAAAAGCACTTTGTAATTTCCCAAATGCCATTTAGCCCACTCTCTTTGCTGTACTTTAGGCCTGTTTCGTTGTCCGTCTACAGTTCAAGTCTCAAATATATGCACTAATGTACTAACTCAGTGAACTGGCCAACTTTGTGTCATGGACAATTGGAGTTTTTCATCGATTAAGGTTTTGCTGTGTGGATTGTTTGATCTCTCTTAAAAAATCATTTATCTCATTGAGAGTATCCTATGATATTCTAGGACTTGATGCATTTAGCACAATATCATCTCCAAATAGGAATACTCAAAAAAAACTTCATCTGTAGGGCATTTGCCTTCAGTTTACCTTATGCAGGACATCCTCCATGACAGTGGTAGGTACTTTGGTGAATATATGTCTTGCTGTTTCATTCTTCATTTGACATTAATAATCAGAGGGATACTGAACAGTCATTTCTCTGGTTGTATTTATCAAGCAATCTTGTATGATATTACTGTGTGATCAATTTTCCCTCCCTCTTTCTTTCTCTCTTCCTTGTTGGAGGAGAGTCTTTAAGACTGAATTTTCTTAAATCCATTTCTTTTTTGTAATAACAAATAGAGCTGACTCATATTCCTTCTTGTTATTAGTCAGTTGTATATTTATAAAGATGTGGTCTTCTTAAAAGAATTGTTTGTGAAAACTTGTTCCTTTTTCTCCATCAAGGATGGTTTCAGTTTGTGTGTAGATCATTTTCACAAAGCTTTTCTAAGGGCAGTAGAGAGTAGGTATAAAGGTTATTAGTTATTGGTGTTCTCTTCATTGCCCTTTTTGGGTGCTAATTATTTTGGCTTAAAAAAAATTTGTTCTTCCTCCTCCACCTGAGATGTCTTCTAAAATGATCTCTTTGTGCACTTACCACAGCAGCTCTTCCACACCTTATCCTTTCTCCTCAAATCTCCCATGGATCCACCTCCCCTCCCTCTCTCAGCTTAGAACTTTGTCATCTGTCTTACTGAAAAAGTGAGGACATTCAACAAGAGCTCCCTCTTCTCCTCATCTCACATCACCAGAATACCTTCTGCTGGTTTCTCTTCCTCCATCCCTGTCTCACGTAACAAAGTGGCCATTCTCTGGGCTAAGGCAAACTCTCTGTCATGCACGAGTGGTCCCATTCTATCCCATCTTCTTCAGCAGATTGTCCTCTTTATCATCCCCACCTTCATTTATTTTCAGTCTCTTCCTGTCTACTGGTTGTTTTCCTGCTGTCTGTAAACATGCCTATGTCTCCCCAAACTTCAGAAAACAGATCCAGTCCTCTCACTTGATCTGTTTGTCCCTGCTAGTTGTCATCCTCTAGCTCTAGCTAAACACCTGGGGAAGGCCATCTACAATTGGTTCCTCCACTTCCTTTTATGTCACTCTATTCTTAATTCTCTGTAGTCCTGCTTCTGTCCTTATCATTCAATAAAACTAGTCTCTCCAAAATTACTGATGATCTCTTATTTGCTAAGTCTGATCACCTTTTCCCAGTCTTCCCTTGTTGACCTCTCTCTAGCATTTGACACTGTTGATTAACCTCTTCTCTTTAATATTCTTTTCTCTCTAGTTTTTGATGACACTACTCCTTTCCTTTTTCTCCTTCTACCTATATGCCTCCCTCTTTTGATTATTTTACATTTGTTCTGTATGTAACTTGTTTGTACATAATTGTTTATATGTTGTCTCCCCTATTAGATTGTGAGCTCTTTGAAGGAAGGTACTGTATTTTGCCTCTTTTTGTATTACTAATGGTTAGCACGTGGCTTGAACATAGTAGGTACTTAATAAATGTTTGTTGAGGGGCAGCTAGGTGGCACAGTGGATAGAGCACTGGTCCTGAAGTCAGGAGGACCTGAGTTCAAATCCGGCCTCAGACCAAACTTGATACTTACTAGCTGAGTGACCCTGGGAAAGTCACTTAACCCCAATTGCCTAAAAATACAAAAAAAAATGTTTGTTGGCTAACTGACTGAAAACTGTGTTGTCTCCAACATGGATTTGGTCAAGTCCAGAAGTTCTTCTCGACCCTATCTTTTTTTTTTTGGCAGTAAGGTTAAGTGACTTGCTCAGGGTCACACAGCTAGTAAATATTATATATTGAGGCCAGATTTAAACTCAGGTCCTCTTGAATCCAGGGCCAGTGCTGTATCCACTGCGCCATCTAGCTGCCCCTTCAACCCTATCTTAAGTGTCATTTCCCCTTTCTTATATAGCATATTGGGGACTGAGGTATTGAGGGTCCAAGTATGGTGATTTCTTTGTCACCTCTTTATGTGGAGCAAGGTCTGCCTCAGTTTCTTTTATTGTACGTTGGACAAGTTTAAATTTCATATTCTCTTCCTAGGTTTGGCACTTATGATACATTGTAAGTCCCTCTCCTTACAATAAACTTACTTTCCTAAATTCCCTTATTAAATCTAATTTATTTCTCTCCTCAAATTGACTTCCTGAATTATATTTAATCCATATTTATTAACGACTTTCATTCTTTCTTTGCTCCCAAAACTATCTTATATTCATTATGTATATATTCTGTATGTATTTATGTGTATACATGTTGTCTCCTCCATTAGAACATAAACTTCTTGAGGGCAGAGACTATCTCACTTTTGTCTTTATATCCCTAGTGCTTAGCACAGAGCCTGGCATAATAGGTACTTAATAAATATTTGTTGATTAATTGACTGATTTCTTCTGTTTTATTTGTTCTGCTCAGTCTGAGATTCCCTTTGAGGAGTTCCCTAGTTGACTTTGTTGAAACCTTGTCTTTTTCTTAATAACTTACCCCCCAGGATTCTTTTCATCTACTCTAATACCCTCATCTTTTTTTTTTACTAGGCAATTTCTAGGGCTTTTGAATTTTTCTGTTTTTGTTTTGCCCTAATTTTAATTTAATATTTGTTCTATAGTTTCTTTACTAAGGTAGAGAAATGGATATATTGTTGTATTTTTTTGTGTGTTTTCAGGTTGGAAGTTCAGATCTGAGAACAAGAATTTGACTCTAAGGGCAGAAATCCTGAAGAAGGTTAAATTATGTGAAAACACACCAGAAAGATTTCAAAGACATGTATTCCAAGTACCAGAGTTTGGTGCAATCTTTGAACAGAAAAGCAGTTTAGCTAGACAGATGAAATACTTCAGAGGGGAGAGTCACCTTGAATACATTTTACAGCAGAGAGATTCTGAGCCAGTGGAAGTTTTCCATAAGAAAACAACCAAAGAAAAGAGAAGCCAAGAATATAATGAATTTGTTAAAACTTGTGATTGGAGTTCAAAGTTTATTACATATCAGAGAGTTTCCACAAAAGAAAGAGGATATGAATGCATTATTTGTGGCCAAAATTTTCCCCAGCTTTTAGCTCTTACTGAGCATCAGCGAAATCATCGTGAAGAGAACCATTATGAATGTCAAGATTGTGGCAGTATCTTCAATCGGAAGTCAGAATTCATAAGACATCAAAGAATCCATATATTGGAGAAACCTTTTGAATATAATGACTGTGGAAAACTTTTTGGTCATAGTTTACATCTTACTGAACTTCAGAGCATTTGTACAGAGGAAGAAGCTTATAAATGTAACAAGTGTGAGAAAGCTTTTGGTCTGAACTCAAAGCTTATTCTAGATGGAGAAAAACCTTTCTATGAATGTAATGACTGTGGGAAAACTTTCACGTATTTTTCAGGTTTTATTAAGCATCAGAAAATTCATGCTGGAGATGACACCTATAAGTGCAATGAATGTGGAAGAGTCTTAAGCAATAAGTTACATCTTATTGAGCATAGCAGAATTCATACTGATAAGAAACCTTTTCAATGTAATGTATGTGGGAAAGGCCTAAGGAGCAGGTTAAGCCTCATTCAGCATCTGAGAATTCATACTGGTGAGAAACCCTTTCAGTGTAATGAATGTGGGAGAATCTTGAATAGTAAGTTAAGCCTTGTCCAGCATTGTAGAATTCATACTGGTGAAAAACTTTTAAATGTGATGAATGTGGGAAAGCCTTCACTCAGTTAATAGGTTTTATTAACCATCAAAGAAATCATACTGGTGAGAAACCTTATCAATGTAAGGAATGTAAAAAAGCCTTCACTCGATATTCAGTCCTAATTCGACATCAGAGAGCTCATACTGGAGAGAAACCATTTAAATGTAATGAGTGTGGAAAGGCTTTCAATAGACAGTCAGTTCTTAATGTACATAAGAGAGTCCATACTGGAGAAAAGCCATATGAATGTAACGAATGTGGAAAAACCTTTTGTCGGAGCTCCACACTTAGCCAACACCAGAGAATTCACACGGGAGAGAAACCCTTTAAATGTAACGAATGTGGAAAATGCTTTGGTCGTAGCTCACATCTTACTGAACATCAGAGAATTCATACAGGAGAGAAACCCTATAAATGTAACAAGTGTGGGAAAGCTTTTGGTCTGAACTCAAAGCTTATTCGACATGAGAGGGTTCATACTGGAGAGAAACCTTATGAATGTAATGACTGTGAGAAAACTTTCACACAGTTGTCAGGTTTTATTAAGCATCAGAAAATTCATACTGAAGATGGCACCTATAAGTGCAATGAATGTGAAGAGTCTTAAGCAGTAAGCTACGTCTTGTTGAGCATAACAGAATTCATACCGGTGAGAAACCTTTTCAATGTAATGTATGTGGGAAAGGCCTAAGGAGCAGGTTAAGCCTCATTCAGCACCTCAGAATTCATACTGGTGAGAAACCTTTTCAGTGTAATGAATGTGGGAGAACCTTAAGCAGTAGACTAAGCCTTATTCAACACTGCAGAATTCATACTGGTGAAAAACCTTTTAAGTGTGATGAGTGTGGGAAAGCCTTCACTCAATTAATAGGTTTTATTAGCCATCAAAGAAATCATAGTGGTGAGAAACCTTATCAATGTAAGGAATGTAAAAAAGCCTTCACTCGACATTCAGTCCTCATTCGACATCAGAGAGCTCATACTGGAGAGAAGCCATTTAAATGCAATGAGTGTGGAAAGGCTTTCAATAGACGTTCAGTTCTTAATGTACATAAGAGAGTCCATACTGGAGAAAAGCCATATGAATGTAATGAATGTGGAAAAACCTTCTGTCGGAGCTCCACACTTAGCCAGCACCAAAGAATTCACACTGGAGAGAAACCTTATCAATGTAATATATGTGGGAAAACTTTCAGGTGCAGTCCATATCTTACTGTACATCAGAGAGTTCATACCAAAGAGAAACCATATGAATGTAATGAGTGTGGGAAAGCCTTCAGTTTGAGCTCTAGGCTCCTCCGACACCAGAAAATTCATACTTCAGAGAAGCTTACTGCATTATAGATGGCATGATGTCAAGGACTTTTAAGATATCTCTCAGTTCTGAGAGGTACAGAATATAATAGTATCCTGCACAAGAGTAGTGGCTTGGTTAATTTTAGCTGATTGTTTCAAATGTGGAAAATCCTTCACTCAGCTCCAACCTCATTAGCGAAAGGATCTTTGGAGACAGATAAAACATTTTGTTGATATATTTTGTTTTTACATTCCATATATTTACAGATTATACCTACTTTGTGAGAAATTTCTTTTAACAAAGTAAAATAGTTAAGTAAAATTAACGATAGTGACCTCAACTGAAAATTTATGCAACATTTATATCTGTAACATTCTTCCACCTCTTTAAAAAAAAAAAGAACAGAAATAGGTTTTCACTCCCTCCTATCCCCAACCCCATTGAAAAAATAAAAAAGGAAAAAAAAATAAATTTCTTGTAACAAATATGCATAGTTTAATAAAACGTATCACCCCAATGGCTATACACCAAAATATGTCTCATTTTGTACCCTAAATCTATCACCTCTCTAAATGGATAGAACATTTTAACAACATTCCTCTGGAATTATGACTAGTCATTGATCATAATTCTTGGAGTTTGTTTTATAGTGCCATTACAAATTGTTCTCCTGGGTCGATCTTCATTTCATTCTTCATTAATTTAAAAAAGGCATCAAAATTCTTCATTTTTATAATGTTGACATTAAAATATAAATTGTTCCTATTCTCACTTCATTCTGCACCAATTCATGAAAATCTGTGTCTTTTTAAAATCATCCGTTTCCTCATTTCTTACAGCATAATGGCATTGTGTCACATTCGTAAACCAATGCTTAGCCATTCCTCAGTTCTCTTAGTTTCCTGTTTTGCCACTACAAAAATTACCCATCAGATCTATGGATAGGAGAAAAGTTCATGACCAAATAAGAAACACAGACGATCATAGAAGATAAAATGGAAAATAGACAATTTTGATTATGTAAAATTAAAAAGGTTTTGTACAAATAAATCCAATAAAGCTAAGATGAGAAAAGAAACAATGGAAAAATCTTTGCAGAAAGTTTCTGATAAAATTTCCAAAGGTCTATAAGGAACTGATTCAAATTTATAAGAAAAAGGGGCAGCTAGGGGGCGCAGTGGATACAGCAGCAGCCCTGGATTCAGGAGGATCTGAGTTCAAATCCAGATTCAGACACACAACACTAGCTGTGTGACCCTGGGCAAGTCATTTAACTCCATTGCCTAGCCCCCCCCAAAAAAAAATTTATAAGAAAAAGAACCATTCCCTATCTGGCAGGTAGTTGAAGGAGATGAATGGATAGTACCCAAAGGAAGAAACCTATTTATATCTATAGCTAGCCTATAGGCTATTTATAGCCATATGGAAGGAAAGGGGGCTCCAAATCACTACTAACCAGAATAATGCAAATTAAAGCAATTCCAAGATTACACCTCATACCTGTCAGTAGGAAAATGATAAAATGTTGGAGGTGTTGTGGGATAACAGACATATTGATGTACTGTTAGTGGATCTGAGAATTTGTATAGCCATTCTGGAAAGAAATTTGGAATTATACACAAAAAGTTAGTAGCCTATAGTGCCTTTTGACCTTGAACTATGCCCTGCTAGCTATATTCAGAGAAGGAGGAAAAGGTGCAAAAATGTGTGCAGAAATAATTTTGAATTGTGAGGAAATCAATTCTTGGCTAGTCAATTTGTATATGTAATGATTATTGGGAAGGGAGAACTTTTCATTTTATTTTTTTACAACTAATTTAAAAAATTCTACTGGCATGTGTATTCTAGTATATGCAGATATTTTTAAAAAAATAGGAAAATTAAAACAATCATACAAGATAAATCATAAATGTTTGTACATGTTTGTAAAATTGCTGTTTGCTATCCCTACCCCCAAAAGATGTGTATATTGAATTTGACATAATAGTTACCAAATTGTCCTTATTTTAGTGACCCTTTTAGATCTTTATTGTGTATAAAACATGAATTTGTTGCTATTGTCTTTAATTCCGTAGTTGTAGTCAATGTGTTTTTTAGGACATTGGGCTTAGACTACTAAGATTAAATTCAGTAGAGATAAATATGAAGTCTTGAGAAGTAGTGTGGTATAGTGGGCAGAGGATTGGCTTTGGAGTAAGGGAGACCTAGTTTTGAGTCTTGCCTGTCACATAACAGTGTGACTAGTTCTCTTCAGTTCCCTAGGTGTATTTTTTTAATTGTTATAGATCAGATGTAGTGGTTGGGAGTTTCCAGACGAAGAGATGATATTGATGAAATTACAGGTCTACCTCTTAACTACACATACACACACACATAGTCTAAAGTGGGTTCAAAAATAATTTCCCAACTGAAAGATAGATGTGAGTAGATAACTTTTTTTTTCTGAAAAGGTTCTGGTGGTTTTAAGTCAATATGAGTCAATATTAGTGTTTTAATGTGAGTACACTACCCCTAAATGCCTCCCTCCAATAAGAGGTAACACAAATAGCACACTTTCAGTGAGTCCTTTTTTTCCATGAAGTTCAATACCCCACAAACTTACAACTCAGCACTTTGTCACAATAAACAGCTTTGGTGAAGGTCGTATGCAGATGTTACATTTTATATTCATTCAATAACTGAGTGTCATCCTTGCCCAAGGGAAGTACACCAGCACTACTATGTTACATAAGAAGCATCCTTGCCTGTTACTCTCGTGGTATTCTATCTGATTGGCCACTGGCAAGATTATCTTGGCACTTCTGGATATTGACTCTTCCCTTGTTCTGTGTGGGATTGCGCAGCATTGGTCCTGCTGATCCCACTTCTGGGCCAATGGATGACCTAAGCCAGTAGAGAGCTCTTCAAACTCTGAGGAATCAGGCTTGTTGGTTGAAGGATTAGAGGGATTGCTGTGCAAATTTGTTATGAGAGTTTTTTCAGTCATGTAAGGTTCCCCAATCAGAGAATCCTTAACATATATAGAAGGAATGTTAGTAAATTGTGAGCTCCATGAAGGCATGAACCATCTTACCTAACTTTGCACCTCCTTCAGCATCAAGAACAGTGAACTTCACCACACAGTTGGTGTTTTAATAAATATTGTTTGATCACATCAATCCTGCTTTACATGCAAAAATATTAATTGGTCCGAACAATCTTAATTTTGTCCTTAAAGAACTTGGTGGGGCAGCTAGGTGGTGCAGTGGATAGAGCACTGGCCCTGGAGTCAGGAGGACCTGAGTTTAAATCCAGCCTCAGACACAACACTCACTAGCTGTGTGACTCTGGGCAAGTCACTTAACCCCCAGTTTCCCTCACAAAAAAAAAAAAAGTTGGCCATGGAAACCTTTTGTTCTCCATAAATTTAAAGGATAGTTGGTGCTATTAATGATGATGAGGAAATTTGGAATAAATGACTACCTATTGGGAAAGATAGTATCACTTTAAGTGCTGGAGTATGTTCTAGTATGTTAAGGGTATATAGAATTAGGTCTGGTAGATCAGGGGAATGCAGTAGATATAATTCTCCTGGATTTTAACGAAGCACTTGGTAAAGTATCCCATATTCTCTTGGAGAATAAGGAGGGATATGGACCAGATGACAATACAATTAGATGGATTCTGAGCTGGTTGAATGGCCTGACTCAAAGAGAATCATTAATGCTACAGCGTCAACTTGGCAAAGATCTGTGATTGGCCCTTTGCTGTTTTTAATCAATGACTTAGATAAAGGCATAGATAATAATAAGAATAGCTGTCATTTATGTACCATTTACTATGTGTCAGGCACTATGCTAAGCTCTTTACTAATATCTCATTTAATTCTCACAACAACCCTTGGAAGTAGTACTATTAGTATCCCCATTTTACAGTGAGGAAACTGAGATAGGTGAAGTGAACTGCCTAGGGTCATTTAGCTAGTGAGCATCGGAGGCCAGATTTGACTTCAGGTCTATCCTGATACCAGGCCCAGTGCTCTGCCCAGTGTTCTCCCTGCTATGCCACCAGGTATACCATGGTACATACATTAAACTGTAGATCAAACAAAACATCAGAAGGTAGAGTAAGGATCCAAAAATATCTCAATTGGCCAGAACACTGGGTTGAATTTAATAACATAAAATTCAATAGGAATAAATATAAAGTCTTACATTTTTATTAAACACTTTTGCAAGTACAGGATGGAGACAGTGTGACAGGACTTTGTCTGAAAAAGGTGTAGAGGTCTTAGTGAGCTATAAACACAATATGAGTCCACAATATGAAAAAGTTAATGAAATCTTGGACTGCATTAGAAGGCATAACATTCAGGAATAAAGAAGTGATGGTCCCTCCATACCACATGTGGAGTACCATATTTAAGTTCTGGCTGTCACATTTTAAGGACACTGATAATTGGAAGTCTTCAAGCAGAGACTAGATAAGTGATTGTTACAGTAGGAATTCCTTCTGAGTATGGGTTGGCTTAAATGACTTCTGAGATCCTTTCCAGTTCTTAAAATTATATGATTCTGCGATTTCTATACAAACATCTTTTCTTGTTGATAATCTTCTCGGATTACATTCTTAGTAATGTGATCTTTATTTTCAAAGGGCATAAACAATTGAGTAACTTTTCTTTCATAATTCTGAATTATTTCCAGAACAGTTCCAGAACATTATACCAGCAGTGAAGGAGCATTCTTTTTTTGGGGGGGGGGATTGGGGTTAAGTGACTTGCCCAGGGGCACACAGCTACTAAGTGTCAAGTATCTGGTCTGAGACTGGATTTGAACTCAGGTTCTGACTCCAGGGCTGGTGCTCTATCCACTGCGCCACCTATCTGCTCCGAATGAACAAAGCAATTCACAGTATTATTTTTTTCTTTTTTGGTGAGCAACCAGGGTTAAATGACTTGCCCAGGGTCACACAGCTAGTAAGTATCAAGTGTCTGAGGCTGGATTTGAACTCAGGTCTTCCTGACTCCAAGGCCGGAGCTTAACCACTGCGCCACCTACTTGCCCGGAGCTCTTGTTTCAAGGAACAATATTGTGGCCCTACATATGCCACCATGTGAGTGGTCATCTGTTTAATGATCAGAGAAAGAAGAAACAAATTCTGATAGTTGATGAATCCCTACTGAGGGATAATGGTAGATATTGTCTACCTAACGTTCAGTACAGACTGTTTTTCTAGTGCATGTATCCAGGATATGACACAGAAACTCCCAAGACCTGTTGAACCTGGTGACCATTATCTTATTCTACTGGTTCATATGGGAACAAATTATACAACTAAAAGAAATTTAGGAAAAATTGCTAATGAATATGAAGCATTGAAGAAAGCAGCAATATAGATGCTATTTCTGTCACTACTACTGTTTATAAGTAAGGGATTTAGAAAAGAAAGGCAGATTTTGGGAGAAGATGGTATCTGATAAATGACACTTGGTTTTCTGGGCTAATAAATGTTTATTTAGTGCCTACTAATTGCCACCTAGTGTG